TTAAGATTGTGTAAGGCGTGGCTAGGACTACAAGTTGCCCCCACAATGCTAGTTTTTCCTGTTTTCAATAGAGATGGAGTCTTGCTCTTCCTCAGGCCAGTCTCAAACTCCTGACCTCAGGCAATCCACCCACCTTGGCCTTTCAGAGTGCTAGGATTATAGGCATGAGCCACCACACCCAGCCAGGTCATTCTTTTAAAAAGAGCTGATAAATGCTAATTTAATTCATATGATGTGCAGGAGAGATAGTGTTTACTGTCTTTATTCCTACCTTCTCTACAGGAATCTAAAGAATGTAGATTCTTACTATAGAAGCAATAAGATAGTCCCATACAGTCACTCTGTAGATTCTTCAGAGACAGGCACTTTTTGTTGTTAGCTCATGGATTTCCTGCGCCTAGCACAGTGCCTGGCGTATAATGCTGGTTTGTTCTACTGAAATCCATAAAACAAATATGCAGAGGGAGTACCTTTTATGTTGTTGCCTTTGATATGTTGATCAGTGTGTGCCTTTGCTGAGTACCCAGGAGACCTTTTTGGGGATGAGTCCACCTCTCTGTTTGAGATATTGAGGAACTTTAGTCTTAATTAGGATGCATAACTCATCGACATTGCTCCATATGGCCCCAAATACTTGTTTTCTTTTGTGAATATTTGTTTTCTGCCTCGTGGAATAGAATTACCCCCTTTTTTGGTTTTTTGTGCCATCTTTAGTTTTGGGGAAACCATCACTCCTGAAGAGGGAGGCAAATAAGGAATTCACCCTAGCCTTCTTCCCTTAGAAGGAAAGCTGGCAGGACGGGAAGTCGTTAGAGCCTCACCTAATGGCTTTTAAGAGTTTTAATTTCATTAAAACTTGAACCCAAACAGATCAGGTAGATTTTTTTTTCTCTTTTCAGCCTTTTGGATTTAGGGGCAGTTGGATTCCTGACCTACTCAGGTTGAATTAAGGAGAGAGGGAGGTCTGTTTGTTTCAATGCTGTGGTCTCCAGGACACCTTCTGTAGTCCTTTGTATTCTTAGAAACAAAGTCACCACCTCTTGGCAGGAATAAAGCCACTCAGACGCCAATGGTCAGGGTTTGGTTTCAAGTCACCAGCCTTGGAGAGACAGTACGCAGTTTCCTTTAGCAGACAGCCAGCCCCTTCTCTGTTCCTCAAAATAGAAACCTTTGAGGACTCTATCTGATACGTTGTGAATCATGTTTGTCCTGAATTCTAATTTAATTTCATAGAACTATTTCGCTTTTTTTCAGGACAGGCTTCGAACTTTTTGTCTTTTGTTTTGTTTTGTTTTTTTCCCTAGTCAACTTGTAGAAAAAGAAGGGCTTAGGCATTTTCTTCTGGAAGACAGTGTAGTTGATGTTGATAGCAAATGCAAGGGCCGTGGCGTTGACAGATCCGAGTTTTATTCTTAACTCCAGGACTATTCCTGGATGGGTGACCTCAGGCAAGTCAGTTCCTCTCTAAGCTTCTTTTTCCTCATCTGCAAAATGATTTAGATAAATCCACCTACGGGGGCGACATGAGGCAGGGATTACCTGAGATCAGACATATCAAAAGCACATTGCTCCCAGCGTTCAGGCCACACAAGTTCCTCAGGCACGGTGAGGGGCCCACGCCCCGGGCCGTTGTGGGTGAGTGGGCCACAAGGAAGGATTTGCAGTCATATGGCTTTACAACTTGCTTCCAGCTCTTGGCTATTTATGTTTTTTTTTCTTTTGCTAGGCAGGAGGGATAGCTAAAGCAGGAAAGTTGTTTTGCTTTTAAGATTATCTAGTTAATCTTACATGATAATAAACCATAGCAATAGTAATCTTGGCAGCTACAATTTATTGAACACTTTTTCATATATGCCAGGCCCTGCATCTAGCCACCTGCTATGTGTTATTTCCTTTAACCTTTAAAACTGCTGGATACGCACATATAACATGTATTATATCTCCAGTCCCTGTATGAGAACACTTTAGCTTTGTGTTTGGGTCCAGAGTTTTTGTGGTTTTCACTCACCACCTTGCTTTTCAGCTGTACCTTCACGGCCCCTGACCACAGTTCACCTTCCTGACCTCTAGACCTGCAGAGGTCAGGGCTAAGGTCACTTACTTACAGCAATACAGTGCAGAGGCATTTTGATGTTAAGAGCAAAACGACTTCCAAGTCCCCCCGTTTCTCCCCAGCTCTAGGCTGGCCTGGGGCAGCTGATAAGACAGGGTGAGGAGCCCAGCGGGGAGGCCCAGATTCAGTTGACAGGGCCCCAAGGCTCTGCTTATATTCTGTTCTTTCCCATAAACGCACTGTCTGAGGAAGGCACTGAAGCGGATAGAAATGGTATCTCCCAGAACTAGGTAGGGCTGTGGGAGCTAGCTGCAAGCAGAGGCCATTAATGAGGGTTGGATGGGTGGACATACAGATATCAGCACATGCCTTTTGCCCTCAGCTCTTGTAATGGTGGGTAACCAGAGATGGAGCAGAGGACCTGAACATGAGGCACGTACCCCACTTCATCATCTTTTCATCCTGATTGCCTTCGTGCCAGTGCCTGTGCTCCCAACTTTGCCTGTGTTATTTTTTCTCCTTTTCCCATAGCAGCCATGATTGTGCCTCATACATTTCTGTGGACTTTTGTTTGCATATAATCGTAAAAGATGACAACATTCGAGAAAATTTATAAAAAGACCAAAGACATTCCCCCAAGCCCCTACAGTCTCATGTCCCTAACATAGTGGCTTTCACTTTTTCCTTTTTTTCCTTTTTTAAAAATTTCTTCCAGCACAAGCATACCCTTTTCTTCCATAGTAGTTCACAAGTTCTCAGTCTTACCTGAAATCCACCAGGCATTTAGTCCATGTAGCTGCGTCCAGGTAAGAGCTCGAAAGGTTTCTCTTTTTCACATCACTGATACCTTTTCAAGTTTTTGAAGACTTGATAAAGACATCACTCTGATGTTGAACAGGAGAGGGGCTTGGCCCTCTTCCAGAAAATACTGGCTCTTGTCACACTACCCTTACATGCAACGCTGGCATCAGATGGGTGTCAAGCCTCCTGTCTTTTGGCATCGTGGCCAGAGATCCACAGTGTGGGCAGTGGGTCATGGATTTAAACAGCACTTCCTCCAGCTGTATTTGACAGGGTATTATGACCAACTGAGTCTGGGAAACTCTCTAGGTTATATAAAGTTAGAGTGTTTCTTTTTTTTTTTTTTTTTTTGAGACAGAGCCTCAAGCTGTCCCCCTGGGTAGAGTGCCGTGGCATTACAGCTCACAGCAACCTCCAACTCCTGGGCTCAAGAGAGTCTCCTGCCTCCGCCTCCCAAGTAGCTGGGACCACAGGCGCCCGCCACAACGCCCGGCTATTTTTTGGTTGCAGCCGTCATTGTTGTTTGGCGGGTCCGGGCTGGGGATTCGAACCCGCCACCTTAGGTGTACGTGGCTGGCGCCTTAGCCGGTTGAGCTATAGGCGCCGAGCCTAGAGTGTTTCTTTATGGTAGTGCTTTTCCTATGCTGATTCTTACAGGGAGTCACAGAGAGAGTAGGTTTTATTAAAAAAATAGTAGCTAACATTTGTTGAGTACTTTTGCTGTGTTGTATCTAGGATGTCTGGTGAACTCTTGATGTGCAGCATCTCATTTAAACCCTATTCACAGTCAATCCCATGAGGTAGGTGCCATCACTGCTCTCATTTTAAAGGTACTTGCCCAACATCCTAGCTAATTTGCAATGGGTACAAAGTTCTGTGCTTGAGCAGGCTGGGTCCCAACTGTACATTCTTAAATAATACGCAGTACTTCTCCTGGTAGACGGCTGTGACCAAACCTTCTGTAATTCAGGACTTCCTATGGGATCCGTGCTCACAAGGACAGTAGTTGGAGAATTACTGACCTACGCTGGGAAAGTGAGCAGGGACTGCTCGATGGGGAAGGAAGATGAGGTTCTTCTTGTGAACCCTGTTTGGATCTGAGGCCCCTAGAGTCTCCGTACCCCTAGACTTCCTGGTCTGTGACACATTAAGTTGGTGCTATTGCCCATTTAGCAGGAGAGATCCGGAGTATAGTACCTAGACCAGTGGTTCTCCAACCTGGGTTTAAAAATGACTGATGCCTGTCTGGCCTCATTTCCAGAGATTCCAGTTGAGCAGGGCTTGTACTCAGGCAATACTGATTTTTTAAATGCTCTGCGGTAACTCTGTTGCAGACTGAGCTGACAATTAGTGCTTTGGATATATTCGTTTGTGCTATAGTTACCATGTCTTATACCAAAGCCAGAGGAGGAATGGTGCCCTTTGGAAGTTAAATGACTTAATGTGGTTTGTGATTTTATTTTATTTTTTGTGAATGAGTGAACTGTGTTCTTTTTCATCGGGCACTTAGGGCCTTGGACATCTTTTCTCTGATCTCTACCCTGACCCTAGTTTTGTACTAGTAACCACATATTGACAAGCTCTGACACAGAAGTTTTGGACTGGTTACTAAGGCAACTGGTGACAAAGAAGCTCAGCACTCTGACTGTGCTGGAAGAAGAAAGTGGGTCCCCTTCCTCAGACCGCTGCGTCCACACTGCTGCTAGGGTAGCTGGGGCGAGGAGTGCCTCATGGGGGAGAACGTTAGCTAACTAACGACACACACGTTTCTTAGTGGGCTTACACATTGGGCATGCCAACCATTCTGACTCCACTTTTCTTAGCTCTAAAGAGTGTCACTGTCCTTTTCAGTTGAATCGAGTGAAATCAGGTAACAGAACTGTTGCTCAGTTTGCTTGTTGGGCAGCTTAAGCTGTTTGTTAGTATGCATACAGAAAGTACCTGCCTTTGTCAATAAAAGACAAACATTGCTTTAACCTTCAGCTGTGACGGCTTTTGTTACCATATATGTCTTTTCAAAGGCTGGTCAAGGCCTAATTCCAGAATTTCAAGACTACTTGTTCAAGATGAAGACTACAGTTCAAGATGAATGAGTCCAGGTTGATCAAAGGATTGTAATGGGAATGTCTCTGTTGGTTTCTTACAGTACAACAAACACCTCTTCGTGCACATTGGGCATGCCAACCATTCTTACAGTGACCCATTGCTCGAATCAGTGGACATTCGTCAGATTTATGACAAATTTCCTGAAAAGAAAGGTGGCTTAAAGGAACTGTTTGGAAAGGGCCCTCAAAATGCCTTCTTCCTCGTAAAATTCTGGGTGAGTAAGACGTTATTGTGATTTCCATGGATATGTGTGATGGTCACATCTCTTAACGAGTGCAGTGCAGCCGGGCAGCTTGCACAGTCCCTCCTAAAGGGCGGAAGGGATGGGGCCTCTTTGGGCTTCGGGGATCACTCATGCAGGGACTCTTGACTAGAGGTGACTAGAGTCATGGGGGAAACCAAGGTTCGGGGAGACTGATACCTTTTTCTGTTTTTCCTTACTCCATTAAACAAAGTAACTTATAAATTCCGCTAGAGGATAGGACTGGAGCTGGAGTGAAGATAAAATTACAGATTTTGTCCGTGTCAGCGAGGACACAGCATGTATAGATTGAATCTCTCTAATCCAAAAATCTGAAATTTGAGATTCCCTGAAACTTCTTGAGCCCTGACATGATACTCAAAGGAAATGCTCATTGGAGCATTTTGGAGTTGGGGTTTTCAGATTATACGTACTGAGCCAGTAAATACAGTGCAGATACAGGCATGTGCCGCGTAATACCATTACAGTCAGCGGACTGCATATATGATAGTGGTCCCATAAGATCATAATAATGTATTTTTACTGTACCTTTAATATGTTTAGATACACAAATGCTTACCGTTGTAGACTTACGGATGGTATTCAGTATGGTAGCATGCTGTATAGGATTGTAGCCTGGGAGCAATAAACTGCTCATATACCGTAGGTGTGGAAAAGGCTAGACCGTCTAGGTTGGTGTAAGTACACTCCATGACATTCACACAATGACAAAATTGCCTAATGGCACGCTTCTCAGAAAATATCCCATTGGCAAATGACACAAAACTATGTTCCAAAATCTGAGAAAACCTGAAATCTGGAACACTTCTGATCTCAAGCAGTTTCAGATGAGGCGTTCTCACCCTACGTGTACTTCATTTGTGGTTTAAAACAACATGGGCAAAGTCCCCCTGGCTGCTGGGGCTTTGCTGACGTTCCACAGCCTCTGAGAGGAGCTCCTTGTCTGCTAGTAAGCTTGGGCCTCGGTGTGGCTAATGGGTCAGAGCCAGGGTAAGTATAATGATGTGTGCATGTTGGGGGATAGATGGATGACCGGAGATCAAACAGCCAGCTAGCACAGAGAGTTTATAATCCCTCAGTCATTACAATAGTGATAATAATAATAATAATTCCTTCAAATGTTTGTGCCTGTTTGCATAGCATTAAGGGCCCTAAATGGTCTGATTCCTGGTGTTTTTCTCCTGGCTTCTGCCAGCCCCCACTTTGCCCCACCATTCCCGTCTCTGCCCACCTTGTATATCTGGATGCACATTCTTTTCCTTTCCTTTGGTACCACCGTGCGGCCATCTCTTCTTGAGACAGTGGCTCCTCTTTACAGCACCTTCCTCATTTAAGCAGACCATTGATTTTTTCTTTTGCTTCCATTGTATTCTGTAGTTAGCCAGTTCCCATGCTGGGTCATGATTATTTGGATGTGTGTCCCTTCCCCTCTGGGCTCTGACGGCCTTTAGGGGACCTTATTCATATAAGGGCTTTTATTTACGGAATGTCTGCTGTGTGCTAGGAGCTGAACTACATGCCTACATGTATTTCAACTATTCTGCTCAATTTTAAGTGGCATTTGCCCTGTATCCAACTAAGAAAAGAGGCTCAGAGATTACAAAGGACAAGCTACGTGTAGGTTGGGGCCCTGGAACATGAAAACAGATCTGTCTGACTTTAATGCCTCTGCTCTCTTTCCTGGCTCCTTAAAGCCTGTGGACTCTGACCACAGGATCTGCCAACCTAAGATTTCACATCTGCGTATCAAGCAAGAACCCTACATGAAAAAGCACAGCAAAGATGGGAGCAAGTGGATACATTCAGGAAAATTCATGTTTTAGATTCTTCGGGGGAGAAATCTGTGTATTTAGTTTACTTAGTTTCTTCTGTCCTTCCTGAACATAGATCGCATTTTTTGTGCCTCCGAATTGGAATCTGGCTGGGAAAAGTAGCTTTCTACTTAATATTAACGGCGGTTGAATCAGTAGTACACAGGACAATCTAAAAAAGCAGTTTCAGTCACTTTCCTTTTCTAAATGGGTGGCTGCCTGTTATTTGAATGGCCATTAGGGTATCAGTTATGGTAACACAACAGTTTTCAAAACGTGACCCATGAACCCCTAGGTCTTCCTCAGTATATCCTTTTAATGGGTTGACATGATCATAATTATTTTCTTTATGATCCTGAGACATGATTTGCCTTTTGCATTCTGCTTGTGTTCCCACCAGTGATGTGAAAGCAGTGGGGTAAAACAGTTCGTAACCTTCCTATGAATCAAAGCAGTAATGCTGCTACTACAGTGCACCCACCGTTTTTTTAAAAAATGAATCAGTAAAGCCAAGAATGTTCTTTATAAATTCGATTACATCTTGAATCTACGGTACATGTTGAAAATGAACCTGTTACGTCAAGGAAAACAACAGACATTATTCATTGCCAAAGATAGAATTGGAGCTATCAAGTGAAAAGACTTGGGGGAAATTTGTTTGCACTTCAGTGAACTTGACAACTTCCTAATATTTATGTGTTAGACCAATGGATTTTAATGTTAGAAGAGTTGGAAAAGTTATTGATATGGTTTCAGATTCTACATTCCTACTAACCTTCAAGAAACTACTATCAGGGACTGAGAGTCTTCTCTCTGTCACCCTGGGTAGAGTGCTGTAGCATCATAATTGACAGCAGCCTGAAACTCTTGGGCTCAAGCAGTCTTCCTGTCTCAGCCTCCCAAGTAGCTGGGACTACAGGTGCTGGCCACAATACCCAGTTAGTTTTTCTATTTTTAGTAGAGATGGGGTCTTAACTCTTGTTCAGGCTGAACTAATTTTTTTAAATACACAAACATGTGTAATTTTTTAAAGATGTATCTATTAATATTAACATGTAATGAGCTTTTTTTTTTTTTTTTT